AATTGTCGATTCTCTGTTAAACTAAGAGTTGGTCGTAGCTAGGGTTTATAAGAGTTTATCAAGTTGTCATAGCTAGAGAATAGCTTGTGACTGTTTTCGCTCTCTGTTCTGGAAGTTTGTAACTCTGTTATTCTGCCTTTGAATAATCAGTTCCTCTTTGCTTTTAAAAGGGTTTCTTCTTTTCTTGTCATGAGTTATTTCATTCTGAAAACGAATTTCATCTTCCCCTCTACCTTTCTCCATACCCCTTGCCTAAATGCACAAAGGCCACCACCACCATCCCACTGTCGCCGCCTCCTCTCTCCCCTCGGCGATCTCCTCGCTATGACATCCGACCTGCGGCGTCCTCCTCCCAAGTTGATGTTGTCATCCTCCTGTCGCTTCCCTACTTTCTCCTGCCTCTGTGCTCTGATGACGCTTCCATTGCCCGCCGCTTGCCACAACCACCCTCTCCCTGCTACCGTCGCGAGGTCATCGCCTCTCCCTTTCCTCATCCCCTGGTTTTTTATATTTATGATTTTTTTACTCCAGATCTGGTTTGTTATGTGTATAGTCGAGTGGCAGTGGTAGTGATTTTCATCGTATCAGCTGCCAGATGGTAGTGGTAAGTGGTAGCGTTGTACTGGTAGCGTACCACTCAAAAATCACTACCACTATACTAATGTACATTTTTTAACGCACTGTTACATTTTTGCTGGTTTTCGAAGGGAGTCTGCCGAAGAGATTTTGCTGGAGGAAGCCTGTCGGAAGGATTTGACTGGAGAATAAGTTTGCCGGTCAAAGCGGAGTGGTGGCTAGAAAAGGAAGAGAGAAATATAAATGTATTTAATGTAGGTTTTTATATAAAAAAAATATATGTACTTAATTTGGGTTTTAATTCTTAATAGGTAACTAATAAAAAAATAATTAATATTTTTTTGTCATATCTAAATTGTTCTTGATTATGAATCTCACAACCCCAAGGAGATGTGATCGTATCCCACCCTAAAAAAATAGATGTGACGGCTTAGTGATGATGTGATACCCAAACCAAGTTGCGAACTTGAGGGAGGTGGTACCATGTGTCTGCATGAACATCCCCACGTGGCAGCGTTTGTCGATAGATACGTCATCCCTCCACACCGTTCTCCATGCAATCCTTAACTCCCCTCCTTCCTCTTCTTCTTCCATTCTCTCTCTATACCGATCAAGATAGCCAAAAGAAAGGAAAACAAAACCTGAATTTCATATAACAATATTCGAAAGAGATTCAACGAAGGAGGAGGAAGAAGAAGAAAAAGTGTGGCCAAATGAAACACCTCTCCTCCACCGCCAACGTCGTTGTGCACCGTTGCGCCAAGTAATCAATCCCATATTCCCCTTGCTAACCCAATCTCGTTTCCTTACTCTCATTGTGTTCGATTAATCGAATGCTCTTTGATCAAGTTAGAAAACAATTATATATAGTCGCTGAATAATTTGATATCTAATCTAATTTCGCGTCAGCTACCTACTTTCTTCCATTCTAAGATTATACGCGAACGGGCAATTCGAGCATAACCACCTTTTCTATGGCCACCAATGGATTTTCCTCGGAATGCTATGATCAATGGTTTCCTTCCCCTGTATTTGTAACAGAACGGTGGGGACTAGTGTGGAGATATTGGTGGCGGAATTTGAAGCGGAAGCGTGGAAGGAAGAAACAGGGGAGTATTCGAAGAAGTTGGTGGAATTCTGCTGCTCAAAGGCATTGCGCCAAGATTGCCAATACATCGAGGAGAAGATCGTCGATGGATCGTTCTCGCGCTTCACCTTCGACATGATGCTCGCATGGGAGACTCCCACTTCCCAGCAGGAGCAATCCAATGAGGTAACAAACTTAGAAATGGGAGACTCCTCCTCAGGTTCCAAACCCATTCGATCAATTTGCTCTGTTTTTTTTTCTTTTTTTTTTTTCTTATGTTATTGGAGTTTTCTTAATAGGAGAATGCCGGAAAGAGTTTGGAAGATAGGAAGAAGATACCCACTAAAGTTACTGGAGAGACGGATGAAATCCCACTTTTCTACAGTGACATTATGCCACTCCTTGTAAGTAATTAAATTTGTTCATGTGGCTCAAAAAAGGGTGATTGAAATGGGGTCTTGAGTTTCATTTCTGTGGTGATTTTGGGAAAAAGGTTGACGACGAGCCGAGTGTGGGTGAAGATGCGGTTGTCTGGATGGGAACATTGGTGCCATTGGTTGTGGATTTTGTGAACGGGAGGTTTACATTCGAGAGCCTCACGGCGGCCACTGCCCATCGCCTTTTCTACCCTGCCTACGACAAGTTCTTGAAAGAAATTGACCAGTTAAGCTTTTGTCATCTAAACCTGCCTCTAGTAGATAGGTGTACAATCTGTTGTTTCTACCTGTTTAGGATGTTGATCATGGCTACTGGTTCTTTTGCTTCAGATCCATAAAGAATCTACAGAAGCAAGTTAAGCCGAAAGGCGTGGAACTCGCTGATGACGAGTTCATATTGCACGTAGATGGCACCGCTAGTTCCCAGCGTGTGGTCCGACACATTGGTGGCACAAGTTGGCCTGGTAAAAAAAATAGCTCTTACTACTCTTTCCCTCTGTTTCGTTCTGAATCCTCAATATCTCCTTTTCGGTGTTACAGTGATGCTGGCTCAACCTCTTAGGTATAGCTGTCATACTTGTCAAATATGCTCTCTTCTATCCAATTTTTGTATCCTTGGTAGGCGCCTTCTTGGTAGAATGATGACAATGTTTGCTCTTACGCGGCCTTATTATGCTGTCGTCTACCATCTCGTTTGAATCATTTATACAAGTTTTTTCTTGAAGTGTTGACAAATAATTTCCTCATAGGCATCCTTAACTCAGACCAGTTGATTATGTTCTCTCCGTGTCTTTCTGAGTCCTTCATAGCATCTTCGTCGTGTAACGTCGACAATGTTACCTTCCAAGGTAGCCACGTAGTATGTTGTCCTCACTACCATCTCGATTTGAATCCTCGCGATAGCGTCTTTTTGGTGTGATTCTAACAATGTTGTTCCCCCTTTTGGTTCTAATTCTGACAATGTTTTCCTCTTAGGTAGGCTCACACTCACCAACTACGCTCTCTACTTCGAGGCATCTGGGGTGGTCACGTACGAGGATGCCATCAAAATTGACCTCTCGAGCGATGCCAAACACAGCATCAAAGCCACCGCCACGGGCCCATGGGGTGCTCCAGTTTTCGACAGGGCCATCATCTACGAGTCCCCTGAATTGTAAGACCACAAATTCTCCTTCACCAAATTCTTGAGGTTCATAGAAACATCGTTGAATGGAATTTCGGTCTGCAGATCGGAAGGCATTGTGCTGGAGTTCCCGGAGATGACGAGCTCGACAAGGCGCGATCACTGGCTGGCCCTAGTCAAGGAGATCATACTAATGCACCAGTTCCTGTCGAGGTACAATGTGAAGTGCGAGATACAAGCGTGGGAAATCCACTCAAGAACCGTTCTCGGGATAGTGAGGCTGCACGCAGCTAGAGAGCTGCTCCGAATCTCTCCGCCGGACCCAACAAAGTTCCTCATCTTCGCACTGTATGACGAACTACCAAAGGGCGACTACGTGCTGGACCAGCTGGCTGCAAGTATAGAGACGGTCAACAGTGGACACCCCTGCAGCGCTAGCTCGATTCTGAGGAACATAAATGTGTCTCAATTGCTCGCGTCGAGTGGAGAGGTGAAGCTGGAGAAGAAGGAAAGCGGGCGTGTTGGTGGAGAAGAAGATGAGATAATACGTTCATCTCTGGATAGCGCGGTCCATCAGGTGAGGGAGGAAGCTAAGGCGGTTGATATCGCGAAGGCCACAACAGAAGGGTTGAAAGAAGAAGGGATCGGTGAAAGCGCTCAAGTTCTCATGGTGGGTAAATCTCATGTAGTCTAAACATACAACCAACTCTTATAAAAGCTGTCCCCCTTAAGCAAGTGATGGTATGATTTCATTCTAAAATGTTGCAGGAGTTGACTAAGCCGGTGAGAGACCTTCTCCCATGGTTTGTAGAGATCGTTTCATGGGAACGGCCATCAACAACTCTAATTGTATTCATCACAACTATAGCTATCATCTACAAGTAAGTCTCTTTCCCTTTTTCCCCATTATTCTGAACTTGCTGGTTTGTTGAGTCCATTGAAATGACTGGGAGAACATGGAATGGGCTGGATGAACAATAGGGAGTGGGTCGGCAAAGCTGTGGCTGCTTTCTTGCTACGAATCACATGGAGGATACTCCAGGCGAGACGAGGGAGAGCCGACAGCGATGATGAGATAGTGGTCCACACTGGCGGGGAACAGAAGAGCACGACAGAGAGTATCGTGGCAGCTCAGTTTGGGTTAAGAACTGTGCACGAGATTATGCAAGCAGCAAACATAGCCATACTGAAAATCTGGTCCTTGATGAGTGCGAAAGCCCCAAAGGTACGGCGAAACTAGTCTATGCACATCGGGTATCATTCGTTTTTCGAGGTTGTTCACCGTCTTTTCTACGATGCAGCATTCGGACAGGGCAATGATGGTGATGGGTTCATTGGCATTGATCCTGGCAGTGATTCCGCTGAAGTACATCCTGATGGGTGGAGTTGTGTACTATGGGATCGTGACGTCGAAGCTAGGGAAGTACATGGAGAATGATCAAGGGAACAGGAGGCTTAAAGAATGGTGGGATTCGATCCCAGTCGTCGGTGTCCGTGTAGTCGACGAACCTCCGCCGGCTTCTCCACCCTCGGAGAAGAAGGAGAACTAGGCAGTTATTGGTTTTTCGCTTTCGATTACCGTATGTATTTACAAGCTGTCCAGGTGGTTTGTACTTTTGTTTGTTGATGGACGAGTTTGAAATGTGTAAATTGTTAAAACACTCGTCCATCATTAAGAACTGGAATACACGGAGATCTTCTCTTCTTGCTGTACAGGTCAGTTGGCCGGCGTGCAAATATTGCCCATCAGCAACGGCAATCTTCGCCGACTGCAATCCTTTAGTCGAGGCTCTGATACAATAAACCACTGAAGAAAAATGAATCGAATCAATGCAGACCAAATGCATTGTTGGTACAATCTTTCACTATAGAATAGGGGTTCTCCTAAATTTGGTCCGCTCCAGACTAAACCGTAGCACACATGACACCCCTACTTAAACTCAACTAAATACTAGACCAAGCTAGCGAACCGCTGTTCTTACTGTTTCAAGCGACGGTCAAAGTGATTGAAAATGACCAACTACTTGCTCACAGAAAGGTAGAAACTGAAACCCCAACGTACTAGTTTATCAGACTTTTGGACTACTTAAGGAGTTAAAAGTGAAAAGGAAAGGCTAGAGCCTTCTGCTAACATTTGACATATACTACGATTAGATTCAAACAAGAAACAAGAGCTCAGGCGAAGTTACAGCGATTACTAATTAGTACTATTGGTAGTCAAAACCAGAGGAGCGCTAAGCTAAGCTAAGCTTCTCAACAGCATATACTCCTAGCTAAATTCAGACAAAGAGGGAGGACATTGGAGTTGCAGGCAGCTAATGGCTCTATTCACATAAACCAACCTTGGCAGCACCATCCATAAGAATCAGCTCACTTTCCTCTAGCCTTCTCCAGATCAGGAAGGTCTGCAAAAAGAAGAGAAAAAAGTTTCAGATTCATCAATCATGGTGTACGTTCAGTGCCAAGTGTTTTGCCCACCAAGTAACCATACAGATATCTACAGTGTTGGCATGATCGTGTGCTGGAAAAAGTGGAAAACGCACTAACTACAGTGATTCAGGAAAAGTATTGACTTTTTTCCAACTTACAAAGCATTCCTTCGTCGTCATTGCTTTCAGCATCCTCATCATCCTGCAAAAGAAAGGGGACCCGATGTCATGCGGCTACTCATTACGAAACTTGAACAAGTGATTGGTTTTGTCAAACAACATTAGATTACCGCAACAGTGTCATCTTCGTCCGAAAATTCGTCAACTGCAAAATGAAGCATAGAAAAACTGTTAGAACTAGCCCCCTGGATAACGAACACATTCAACATCGGACAAATATTCGTGTTAAGATTCTGAGAATCCGCTTGAAAGAAATGCTCATGCCCAAGACACTTTCCAGTATGTCTCGAACCAAAATGCCTAGCTGACCAATTAACCGTACAAAGTATTCAACATATTATGAGCAAACACCCACTAAGTTTAAGGACAGTGGACCAAAGCTAACGAATGGGATCAGGGTCTAGCTACCTTGTTCTGATCATGGATCAAGAAACCAGAATGGGACAACACTGAGAAAGAGCTAGCAAGCTAGCTAAAAGAAAAGGTAAAGCAGCCATTGATGAATGACTTACGAGTTGATTCCTCATCATCTTCATCCACCCACTTGTTCCAATCAACTTTAATGTAAGGTGCCGGCTTCTCTTCCGACTTCAACAATCTTTTCCACCACCCTTTCTCCTCTTTCTGAATCGAGCAGATTGTGTTCCTTAACCCCACATTAGTTTTGCATTTCTGCAACCACCCCCATCGATCAAACCGTTAACATGCTTGCATGGAAATCGACACATCACATTATATTTACCCTATTCAAATTCAGCACAAAAAGGCACATGATTCAACAAGCTTTATCCCTGCAAATATCGGCTTCTATTAAGGCATGAACACACTCTACGAGCTCTGATTTTTCTCTTCCAGAGCAAAATTCCATACAATAGACGACGAAATTCCATACGAAAACAAACAGTAAGAGCCCGGACGAGAGAAACAATAAGAGCAGAGATTCACTAATTACTGCTACAGAAAAGAAAAGCAGGGGCAAGGAAGCGGGAAATTTCTAACCTCGGGGAGAATGGGAGCGAAGAGCTGGAGATTGAGCTCGAAGTTTTCACCCTGTTTCCCGCGAGCGGAGAAGCTGAACAAACCCTTGGGGTCGCATTTCACCGATATGTCCTTAGCGTCCGGCAAGGCTACTGTCAAGTACACTTTATCGGAGCGCTGCGCCCACAGAACTTCCGGATTCCGGCTGCTGCGGGTATTTTTTGCTCCGCGATCAACAGTCAGAACAGTGTGACAAAACCAATCCAACAGACGAAACGAAGGCTTGAAGTGAAGCTCTCAGTACAATAAGAAGGAAGAGAGTACGATTGCGATGTTAGTTACCTCATTGCTGAATTGTGATCGGTGGCCGGAGAATCGGCGGCGGCGGCCATCGGCGGAAGAAAACGGTTGCAGATGATAGGGAAAAAGCGTCGGGGAGGACGGAAGAGTTTCGTTTCGCCAATCAGTGAGGTAGGAGAGAGCCGTACGGAAGCACGGGGTCTTTATTTTGAAACGGAGGAGCAAAGTGGGGCAAAAGGGTAATTTTGTCTGGTTGGGGAAAACGAAACGAGAAGAAAAGAGCCCGCTGAAATCGGGTGACCTATTTATTTGACACTTCCTCAAACTTCACGGCTTCCAGCGAATTGAAGTCAATTACGATAATTGTCAACAACAAAAAAAAGTCAATTACGATATATTTGAGATTGTTTTATCAATAATAGGAAACTCACTTTTTAAAGGAAATGTTAATTGTGTCTTGTTCTTAATGTATAAATACTTTGTTATAAAAAAAATGTATTAATACTTTTAAAGGATAAATTTGGAAGAACAAAAGGAGAAGTAACAATCTTGTATATTATAAAAAAGAGAAATAACACATTCTCAACTAAAAAATTGAGATTGTACCGTTATTTATTTTTAATTATTTTTTATCATAACAAACAAATAATACATGTATTGTATGTGGGTAAAATAAAATAATGTACTCTAAAAATACAAACATTATTTCTATCACACCAAACGTCTCTATGTCACACCAAACGCCTATATGGTTTCAGCCAATCATGGCGTAGCTAATCTCCCTCTTGTTGGATGAACTTGGCTAAATCGACAGTTTGCTTCAGTAAAAATATTGCTATGCCGAATCAAGAATTCTTGGTTGAGATTCTGGGAGTCAGGGCGGTAGGGGTCCATGATAAGTATCTGGGCTTACCTACGTTGATTGTCCGGTCTAAAATGGCTACTTTCCGATATTTGGAGGAGAAATTACTAGAGCGCAAGGTTGGAAGCAGAGGACATTATCTTGGGCAGCGAACAAAACTTTGATTAAATCAATTGATTTAGCATTGTCGTTGCATGTTATGCCCTGTTTCAAGTTACCTCTATCTCTATGTCGTCTCTTGGACAAAGATGTTGCCCGGTTCTGGTGGGGTGTTGAAGATAGTCATTCGAGGATTCAGTGGATTTCCTGGCGTAATATGTACAGGAGTAAACATGATGGGGGTATGAGATTTCACCGATTTGAACATTTTAATCAGGCCCTATTGGCCAAAATTGGATAGTGTATCCTTCATGAACCCTAGACTCTTTTAGCCAGGTTCACAAAGGAACATATTTTTCGACTGAGACTTTCCTTAGTGCTACAGCTCGCTCTCGCCCATCGTGGGGATGGCAGATGGGGTTAATATGGCAAATTGGATGGATAAGACCAGTTGGATTCGTTTATGAGAGGCTAATATTCCGCCCAAATCGAAAGTGTTTGTCGGGCAAATCTTCAACCGAATCCTGCCAACTACTGAAGCCCTCATCGAAAAGGAAGTTCATGTGCTTCCCAGATGCCCGGTTTGTTGGGCTGATTCTGAAACAATGGAACACTTGTTTCTCTATTGTTCGGTGGCGCGCCCTTTGGGACTTTTCGGGTTTGGAGTATCTTGGGGAGGGTTGCCTCATCATACCTTCCCGCTCTTTCTTAAGAAGTTGATGTCTTGAATACATCAACCTTCACTGTTCATGGAGATTGCTGCCATCCTCTGAGGATTTGGCGGTCTCGTAATTAGGTTGTCTTTGAGGGTAAACAGTTTGGGATCCCTGCCTTGATGCGCCAGTTTAATCAGCAATATGAGGATTGGGTAAGTTTGCCGGTGGATCGAGCGCCTCAGGCTTCTATCCCTTTGATACAATAATTGGGTCCTGGGGGGGGGGCTAATATGGTTGTTTTTATGTGGGATGGGGCTACTAGGAGTGGGTCTTATTCAGCAGGCGGGATGGTTATTATGAACCCAGCTAGGGATATCTTTATGGCTAATGGGATTCCATTTTCGTTGATTGGTGACCCTATGGTGGTAGAATTGCTAGTGCTCCGGGAGGCTATTGTATGGTGTCTGAACCTCGTCTTCAGAGAAATGAGGTTCGAAGTAGATGCCAAATTGATCATTGATAAGATCAATCGCGCTGATACCAGCGATAACAAGATGGGGGCTTGAAGAAATCGTGCATTACTTTGCCATCCATTTTGGGTTTAGTGTTCGATTGTAGGTTGGCGTAGTAATAGGGTAGCCCAGACCTGGCTGAATTCCAAGATGTAACTATCTATTCTTTGAATAAATATTTGATTAACTTTTGTAAAAACAATCTCCCTCTTGATGCCCGCCATCCTCGTTATCTAGGGTCATGTTGTTGTTGCCGAATTATAGGGAAAGTTATTGTTTGTTGTATCAAAGAAGGTGTCGTGAAATTGGCAACCTGGGACAGTGGAAGCTATGGCGGCATAGATGATGGTGCAATTGGCAAAATGATTCCAACCAATGTAGCTAAAATCGCGTTTTAAAACTTAAAAGTTTATGATTTTACGCTTTTAGTTAACTAAAACGCTTTTGTTTTCATATAAAATCTTTAGTGTATAAAATCGGACTAAATTGTGGTTTAATGCTTAAAAGCTTATGCTTTTACGTTTCTAGTTCACTAAATTGGTATTATATTCCTGAAATTAATTGTAAAAAGTATATTTTAAAGGAAAATCACCATCAAGATGTTACATTTGAGATTAAAAGATACATACCAGATACTTGGATGCATTCTTAGCTTCAAAAGAGTAATCTAATTCACCAGCTAGTCCCTTCCCCAATTCATTAGCATAGAGGGGATAGTAGCTTATTGTTAATATCTATGTTTATGAACTTATTGTTAAGATGTTATGAGTTGCTCTACTTTAGACATGAATTGTAGGTATTTCTTAACTTATCTAAATTCTGCACTCATATTTTACATAGTATATGTCGTACTTTTCACACAATTTTAGCTATTTTATAGTATGCATAAAAAACTTACGCTTTTACACTTTGATTCTACGCTTTAGGATTTTACCCTTTTTACTGCATTTGATTCCAACTGCTTAATTCTCCGCCTTGTAAACTGATTTTGTAACCTTTTTTCGGAATCTATAAGCACCTAGTTCAGAGTTTTGTGTCGAAGTATAAGAAGGCTCTTACATGAGACATGGAATGGAAAGTGGAAGCATATCACTCGGGAATAAAATGTTGTGGCTAATATTATGGCCATATGTAGAAATACATTGAATCGATGTAATCTGGACGATGTAACACAACTACATATTAATAAAGTTTTCGAATAATGATAAGAAAATATTCAATCTATTATCTCCCATTTTCATTGCAAAGTGTTTTCCTTTTTGTTATCTTGTGAAATAATTAAAATTTTGTGTTATTATTTTTCAAATAACATATTAAAGTTGATCGACTTGCCCTGAATATTAGGGGTGGGCACATGAGTGGATTTTTTATATTGATCCACCCATAAATAACCTAAATCACAGTATATATATATGTGATTGTTGTGGGTAGACTGTGGATCGGTACCCGCACTTACTCGGGTGTGTGATGGGTGGATTGCTAAGAATTTATTATAAATGTTAGTCAACTTGTCTAATTGCTAGTTGGAGAATTGCATTTGCGGATTAACCCACAATACAATCGCATTCATTCGCCACCCACCCAATCCAACCCAAAGAAGAGTGTGGGTGGATTATGTGTCACAATTGTATCAACTTATTAGTAAGTGGGTGGGTTAGTTTGAGACCGAAACACACACAACCTACCCATTGTCCACTCCAAATAGTTCATATATGACGTGATAAGTATTGAGTTACCCGTCCAACCATTACCATTACTAACAAATCAAATAAGGTGCTAACAATACAAGAGTTATCACCATGCTAACATTAATCATTATGGGTATTTTGCCGACATAAACACAACCTTTTATCCAGCTACAGTTGACGTAGTTGGGGTCAAAGCAGAGATAGGCATTGGTAATAAAGCTATGTTACCACCACCAACTGTCCCATCCAGCGTATACTTCCTCAGCATATCTCTCTTCTTCTCTCCATCGTCGCTCACCGAAGAAGACAACGCCATTTGTTGCTGCTGAGGACCCGCTACCCCTCCAACACTGACCTAGTTATGGTTTTTAATCCTCTAACCTACATGATAATTGGACGGTATGATGTGCAGACAAGTCATAAATTCTAGGATGCCCTATTGTTGTATCCCTCAAGATGTTCTAATGCACGATTACTCACACCAACCATCATGACATACACGAAATAAGCAAGAAAACAAGAAGAGTAAAGTTGTTTAGGGATTTATTATTTATAGATGCATAAAAATAAATAGGTTACTCCAAGAGGTAGTGAACTCGAAGACTATCATGAAAATTAAGGCTCATTCATATCATGCATCGATGGTTGATCTACTGTAACACCCTATCTCTTCCTTTAATGTCACTCACTACCTGTGTGTGCGCCTCTTGCTATAGAGATTTAACTAGTTAATGCGTGCTTTTGCTTCATGTCATTATCTAATCAATGAAGAACAAGGAAGTTAGAATATCATACAGTTAATTGTGGGCTTCTACGAACCATAACTATAGTCTATAACATCGATGATCTAAAAATCAAGCATAGATACTACTCAGAGTATATATGGTTGTTCAAGCCTCCCATGCTAATGTAGCTTCAAAGGGGTATCCCTATATGGTAAAAATTTTACAGTCTAGGTAATACTAAGTACAATGCATATAGCAACATACAATAGAATCATAAACATCGATGATACAAGAGCATTCATACAATAGAAACATCAATGACCATCATAAGCATCGGATACAAGAAGCATCCATACATAATAATAGGCATAATCTCATAGATAAACACAAACATGAGATGAAATCATAGCATTCATTTACATAACAATAAACCAAATCACATCCTAATACAATCAATTTCGACTATATATATAAAGGAGAAGGCAGGTATCACCATTGAAGATGACAAGATCTCCTTAGCTGCAGACCCCCTACTTTAACTAGTCTAGGCACTCGGGAAGAGTGTTACGGAGAATTTGAGTGTTTTTTCCAGCATTACTCTTCTAATGGGATCATGCCCTATATTTATAGGGGAGAATCCGGCCTAAAACAACCTAAACCGACTAGGAAAGAGTCTCTTAAACCTAGTAGACTAAGGAAACTTCGTCAACAAGGCAAGGGAAAGGCGGCGGTAGGACAGCGGTTGGACCCGCCACTCTATTTCTTCATGGGTTGGGCTTCCTAGTCCGTGGACTTATGTTCCTGACGATTTGGCTGCAACTTGATGGAGTGGCGGTTAGACCTTTTGCTTGAGCCGCCGCTAATTCCTTCTTCAGATTGTGATGATTCTTCCTCCTATGGGTTTGTTTTGATATAATGTAGCAACTTCTAGATGACTTCCCCATCATTGGATAACTTCTTTCTCACAAAAACTCTTTAAACTTATCTTTATATCTTATTTGGTCCTCCGGAGTTCTTCAATATTTGATCCAATCTTCCTTAAGCAGAGAGATAACAGAGGATCTGCAGGAATGAGAGGGGAGGCTTGGATGAGAGAAAATTGCAATTGATATGTATTTATAACTTTCGAAATATAGTTTAGTAAGAAGATAATTAATAAATATTTGTTTTCATACTCATTTGCTCTTGGTTATCACGCCACTAGTACAGAGTGGAATGGTTGTCACAAGGTAGAATGTCGTCTAGTTGAATCTGGTTCAACCCGTACCATTCATGAAGTCGATATGAATACCACTAGTATAGCCTTCCGACCTATAAACTAAATGACGTCATTTTAGTGAATTTAATTAATATAAAATAATTCGTAATTTATTTCACAACTTTAAAAGTTAAATGTTGATGTTATTTGTTGGATTCAAGTATAAAAGTTTTGGTGTAGACGTTTAAGATGAATACTTGTTTTGTGTAAGATGTTGCATTTTTATTTCAATATGATGAATATAAATTTTAAGTCTTCAAGTATATTTTATATGTGCTTAAATTTATTTAATGTTAATAACTTTTACATAATTTGTTAAAATACATGAACCGATACAAATTGGTTATACCACCGCTCCAACCATATCACCTGTTAAATCGGCACAACGGTATAAACCGATTTGACAACCTTGTAGAGTAGGACACCATTAACTAGGGATGGCAAATTACCCACCCATGGGTAATTATACCCAAACCCACGTAGACCCATTGATAATGGGTTGGGTATGGGTGAAGTGCATATGGATTTGGGGATTTATAGATGTGTTTGGGTAAGGTATGAATATTGCTTCCATAATCTAAATGGGTATGGGTTGGATATGGATATCCATTTACTTGAGGGGGTTTTAACTACACATGCAAAAATTGAACCTATTTGTAAAACTTGAAAAGTTTAGGTACCAAAACATAATTTTCCATCGATATTTTGAGGACTTATATGCAAAAAAAATTAAATTTAGGTACTAAATATGCATATCTATTAAGTTTGGGTACCAAACTGTAATTTGTATTTGGGCATGGGTACAAACCCAAATCCATTTGATATAAACCCAACTCAACCCAAAGTAAATGGGTATGGTTACAAACCCATCAAACTCTACCCATATCCATCTATTTGGGTTACATACCCAACCCAATTGGGTTGGATAGTAAGAAACCCATGGGTATGGGCAAAGTTGCCATCCCTACCATTAACATATCCCGTGTTGCCACGAAGTCCTAAGTCCTGCATCACTAACCATCCATGACCCGTTTTGAGGATGGAAGCGTCAACGAGTAGATACGAATCCTCCTGCCTCCTGAAAAGGCGAGACCTCCGTTGCTGGACGAAGGAAGAGAAGAGCCATGGCGACACCAACAGGTCGGAGCCCAGAGCTGAGACACGACCCGGTTTCAAACCGATGGGTCATATTCTCGCCCGCAAGAGCCAAGCGGCCTTCCGATTTCAAATCCAAATCCCCAGAGAACCCAGATCCAAACTCCTCCAGCGGCAACTCGTGCCCATTTTGCATCGGCAACGAAAGCCAGTGCGCGCCGGAGATCTTCCGGTTCCCTCCTGACCTGGGAAACCCGAACTGGAAGATTAGGGTGATCGAAAACCTCTTTCCCGCACTGAGCCGCACCGGCGAGTACCCATCCGAGGATCAGCAACGGCATCAGGATCACACCGCTGGTGGGCGGAGCTTGAAGGGACTAGGGTTCCATGATGTGGTGATAGAGGCTCCGGTTCACTCCGTGCAGCTGAGCGATTTGGGAGCGGGAGAGATTGGCCAGGTTTTGCTTGCCTACAAGAAGAGGATTGAACAGATTGCTACCTTTGATTCCATCAAGTATATCCAGGTTTGATTGCCTGCCAATTTTCTACCATGAATTCTGCTGCTTCTGTACTCTTTAATAATGCCTGCGTAATTGAATTCTAGAGGAACCGATGGAGTTTCATAGGAGAAATGTTCTGACTTTCTTATTAATGCCGAGGTTTGGAAGATGCATTTGAATTTTGAACTCCCTACATGGTTTTTCCCCTATCAGAAGACAGGGAACCATTTCGGTCTCCTGAGATATCAGATTGAGCATCGAAAGACTGGTTTTGTGCCATTCTTTCTTTTTGACATTAGGATTGTGAGACAGCTTGAAAGTAGGAAGTATTTGAGGGCAATGCATATTGTTAAAGCCAATTACGACTCTATCCTAATCTCTTGTGTAACTGGAAGATCATGATTCAGAGAAACACGTATGTATATGGAGAGACTATTGTAGCATAATGCGTCGAGCAACATGTGATTATGATTCGTTGGTGTCAATGCATCATAGGGCTTCTTTGGTTTTTCAATGAGTTTGCAATGCAGTTATGTTCTCAAATTATCTTTGTCTTGGTTTTTATTTTGTGTGTTTTTAAGGTATTCAAGAATCATGGAGCTTCTGCTGGTGCATCTTTAAGTCATTCACACAGTCAGATTCTGGCTCTACCTGTCGTTCCTCCTGCTGTCTCTACGAGGCTTGATGGTACAAAGGAGTATTTTGAGAAGACAGGGAAGTGCAGCCTGTGTGAAGTTCGAGCTAAGGAGCTCATAATCGACGAATCAACCCATTTCATCTCAATTGTCCCCTTTGCTGCTACATTCGCTTTTGAGATATGGATCGTTCCAAAGGATCATTCCTCTCATTTCCATGAACTAGATTCTGACCAGGTAATAAATGAATGGTCATCAATCTTTGGCTGCTGATTGCTATTTCTCCACTATTTCGCACTCCGGATTAAAGGTTTGCAAAATTTGCTGCAGGCAGTTGATCTTGCGGGATTGTTGAGGCTTATGCTTAAAAAGATGTCTACCCAGTTGAATAACCCACCATTCAATTTCATGATCCAGACGTCTCCCCTTCGAGTAGAAGAATCGCGGTTACCTTACAGTCACTGGTTTCTGCAGATAGTACCTCATCTTGGTGGAGTAGCGGGTTTCGAGATTGGAAGCGGCTGTCATATCAATCCTGTTTTCCCCGAGGATGCAGCAAAAGTTCTAAGGGAGGTTAATGTTAATCTCTCTGGATAAAGTTTGCCGCAGAAATCGTGAGAGAAAATGAATAATTACTTAAGCGTGCATGGAAAATGGATGTTGAAAGCCGGTAACTGCCTTTCGCCTTCTGCTGCATGGTGCAAGCTTGTATAGGTCTTATTAGATGAAGCAGTTTGCAGAGACAAAAGCAGCCAAGCTTTCCTTTTCTAGCAAGGGCAATGGAGCAGTGTAGTGCTGTGTGGGAGGAGATGATTACAACTTCTGAATATGGTTTAGAATCAGAGTGTTAGGTTCGAAGGGAGGAGGAAGAAATGTTATTTGATTTAGGTTTAGTGAAGCTCTTGAAATAAACAATTATAGAAAGTGGAGAGTAATTGAGAATTGAGATGCATGAGAAATGGCCCGTTTATTTGCAAAAAGTAAAAAACAAAAACAAAATTAAAAAATAAATATTCTATAATTTGTAGAGGAGTGTGCCGAGCAAGAGACAAAGATAAATACAGCGGATAGATAGAGTGTTCACTGTTTAGCTAGAGCATTGTAACACATTTGAAAGGAAGTGTAGATGATTGGATCGTAACCCTATGAGGACTGAAATGATACCTATGAGGATTGAAATGAATATCTACAATCGAAAATTTAAAAGGGCTATACTAGCTATGGATCTAGAGGAGGGTTGAGCCATGGTCTGAGGGCGATCCACCTGAATCTGCCACTGGTAAAGGCTGTAAATAAGTGGACTCAAGTCGAGTTTTATTCCAACTTGAGCTTGACTCGTTAATAAACGAGTTGAACTCGAGCTCGGCTTGTTTATTAACGAGGCGAGTTCGAGCTAGCTTGCTTACTAAAATCTTAGACTCGTATTTGATATATTCATTTTGTATGTCATGTATGATACATGTGATTAATGCCAATATGTAAATCCTCCAATAATATATGGTAGAGTTTTGTGTACTTTTCTCCATTTCAAATTTTCTGCAACGAGAGTGAAAGTAAGAAGGACAATTTGGTCTTTATAATTAGTTATTTATTTCATATAAAAAATATCAATATCATGATTTGAATTCGGGTCTCTTCAAACAAAGACAACAATCACAACCAATTACACTTAACAAATTTGTTGTATCTTTTTTAATACAAAACATACACGAAGTTAAACTTTGAAAATCTAAGGACTTTCCCATCATGATTAGCAAACCACTAAGTCTATCGTATGTATTCTTCAATTTAAATATAAATTTTGTGTTTTTTTATCTTTGTTCTTATCTCTTTCTAACTTTCTCTGAAATTTCCTACATCGTGCTACTTTGCGCTACTTTCACCTCCCAGTACAACACTGCCTTTGAAAATCAATCTTCTGGTATCTCTTGGCACTACGATTTTATTGTTGGGGATTTAACCTGGGCAAGTAGACGATTTCAACTATGTATCAATACATGGCGAATAGAATAGAGTTAAATAAATGGAGTTGCAAAATGAGGATTATAAATTGAATTTTTTATTGAAACATATGTCTCTTGAGATTGAAAATAGAGTAGATAAAATTAGGTTGCACAACGGATGGTGGTGGGTATTGGATATTTAGGTGTTTGAGCCACAATACCCGTCGATACTCCTGAACCTTCCCTTCAATTGGCACCTGCCTACACACACGCACGAAGAGGAGGGCGCCTAGGCCCGTTAATCCTCCGACGCCCAAGTTAGTTCCTTAGAGAGGGAAAAGTCCCAAAGTAGGAATTCTAGTGAGAGAGTCCAACCTGTGTAAGTGCTACCAACTGCCCCTATTTATACTCACCGAGCTCGAGGTTGATCTCCTCCACGTCACTGTCCCCATTTAATGCCTTGTACCCTCCTTGTCAGATATCTCAACCGCCTTGTCAGGCTTCTGACGCGTTGGTAGGCGCCTGTCGGCGGTGGACCACCTGACAGCCTGGCCTCCCTTGGCTTTTAGTGTTTTGTCCTCATGCGCCCCTCATCTCACTTGGGCCTTGAGATGCTTCACCAACCCATTCGTGGGCCTTGCCCCCCAATTCTGTTGCCTGGAGGGCCAGAACACTGGCTGATGGGTAGTACCCCCAACAATTGCCCCCCCCCCAGTTAGGTGCTCGTGGCTTCACCTTCGAGCGCCTAACTGACTCTTATGTCGTGGCCTAGTGTCCTCTTTGTTTACAGGTGCCCTCCCTTGGTGGCGCCCTCCGCTATGTACGTTTTTTTCTTTGCGGTTTGTGGGCGCCTTTACTCTCCACTAGTAGGCTCCCCGATTTTGATGATGGTTTGTGTGTGCCTTTTCATGGAGCTATCTGTGGGGGGATGCTCCTATCCCCTTGCGCTCCCCTCGCGGGTGGGGTTTGATGTGGGACCCACGTTTTCCATACTTGGAAAGTGGGAAATTTCGAATTTCGGATTCAGAAAATTCGAAATTCGAATTTCAGAATTTTCAAAAAAGGGAAAATGTGGGGGGAAGTTGAAAAGACCGCCCGTGATGTTGACACGTGGCACGCGGCACGAGATCCGGTTGGGGTTCTCCCCTCCTTTAAATACCCCCTCCCCCTTCAGTTCTTGTCACTTTCTACAAAGTGACTTCTCTCTAAGACTTCGCTCTGACTTCTCTCTAGATTCAGCTCTGCCCTCTCTCCTGTCAGACTTTGCAATCGTCACACTCTTTTGTCGCGTCAGTCGAGAATGTCGTCGCCACAACAAAACAAAACTTCCAGACAAGGCGCTTCCGGCGCTGTTGCAACTGGTGCAGGCGCTTCGGGCGCAGGCGCCTCGGGCGCGGGTGGTGAAGCTAGGCGTCCGACTCAAAGCGGTAAGGAATCTTCTATCGCTAGTTGTTTTTATTTAGTTTATTCTAGTAATCTAGGGTAGGGCGTCATTTACTCCGCGTCCACATTGCGCCTGGGTCATTTGTTGGTTTAGAGAGGGCGCCTGCTTCTACATCTGCTGGTCCTTCAGGCGCCACGACTCCAGGCTTCATGCCCGCGGACGGGTCCTACAAGATCACGACATGGGAGAACTCCTTCCCCCCCCCCCCCCCGACCATCTTCCGACGGAGACGTCCCAGTTGCCCTTTGATGTGGCCTGCCCATAGCATACGTCCACTGTCACCCTGGCTCGCGTCCATGAACTGGTGACCAGCCTCCAACTCCCGCGTGATTGGTGGTATGCGCCTCCTTCAGCTATTTCACGAGTAGGCGTCTGTGGGTAGGCGTCTGTGGGCCGAAGTGGATCGGGGTGTACCAAGAATATTTCCGCTTCGGGCTGCGGTTTCCCCTTGACCACATCATGGAGGGGATTTTGACGACTTGCGGCTACCCGCTGGGGCTCCTGTCTCCCTCGGTCATTACGGTCGTCATCCTGTTCAAGTTGAGGTGCCGGCAGCATAACGTGGAGCCCACCTTCAACTTGTTCAGATACTTTTTTAAGATGGCGCCTCTTGACAACTGCATATCTCTCCAAAAAAACGGAAGAAGCGCCCCTATCACTTCGTGTCTCAGTGTCCCAAGTTGAACCGTAGTTGGTTTAATGGCTTCTTCTTCATGAAGGCCTATCAGGACTCCTTCTACGAGAGTGGAGGCGCCTTCCTAAGGCAGTGGGAACTGGGACACATCGAGGACTTCAACTCTCCGGTTGTGCTATCTCGGGCAGAGAAGGATGGCGCCCAACTGATTTGCTCGGAGCGCGTGGATTTGCGTATTGCAGAAAACCGCCCGTCGATTCTGGCGGCGTATTATAACGATGGTTTGTAGGCGCCTAGGTTTTCTGTTTGTATCTTTCGTTGTGATTGTGCTAACGATTTTGACAATTTGCAGGGTCGGTCTACTCCAGCATCGCCAAGCTGATGAAAATTCGGCTTGCTGCTATGGCGGCAGGGACGCCCCCTCCGGTTCGGTAAGAGGCACCCGAACCAGCTGCCACTCAATCCCAGGTGCCTCCAACGGGCCCGAAGAAGAAGAAGAAGAAGAAGAGGGCGCTGAAGGGGGGTACCATGCACACCAAGACCGCCAGCGTAAGTGCTACCAACTGCCCCTATTTATACTCACCGAGCTCGAGGTTGATCTCCTCCACGTCACTGTCCCCATTTAATGCCTTGTACCCTCCTTGTCAGATATCTCAACCGCCTTGTTAGGCTTCTGACGCGTTGGCAGACGCCTGTCGGCGGTGGACCACCTGACAGCCTGGCCTCCCTTGGCTTTTAGTGTTTTGTCCTCATGCCCCCCTCATCTCACTTGGGCCTTGAGATGCTTCACCAACCCATTCGTGGGCCTTGCCCCCCAATTCTGTTGCCTGGAGGCCCAGAACACTGGCTGATGGGTAGTACCCCAACATTAGGTTTATGGTTTTTGCAACTATCACAACCTATAGCTATCTTAAACGAGGAATCATTGATTAATTTACTAAAGTATGTCGATTCTTTATTCAACCTACTGGAAATGATAGATAAAGAGTATCTAATTTATGCCTTATTAGTTTGATCAGTCTATTAGTATATTGGAGGTAACCCTAATTTTGTCGTTTGCTCTCAAGTTTCGATGGTCCCCCTCTTAGCTGAGTTATTAGTATATAGTTGACTTGAATCAACAACTCTCCATTTCTTTTTGATAAGTGACATATTTTTCCTAAAAGAAAAGCATTGAACCCTTTATTTAGGACTGTGAGGTTTAAAAGATTTAGTATCAAACTACCTATGGGTCGTGTAGGAATTTCAATGAGCTTTTATACTCTGTCTTTTTTGACAATCAACTAACCAATAACATTTTAACGGGAGCTTAATTATCACTATGAAAATGGGATCAATCATACATTTTTATATTGCATACTCTTAAATGATTGTGATATTTCTCCGAATGTTCGCCCTATATATTTTATAATTATGTATCATTTCGATCGAAGAATTTTCAATAAAATTAAAAGATTGATAGATTTAAACGTAACATAAAAATATAAATAATCAAATATGAACATTCCGGCCAACGGGCCGGGTTATAAGCTAGTAATAATAATAGTTTTTTTTACAAAAGGTAATCATATATATTGATTGGAACAAAAGATCAGTACATCCTAGAATTTAACCAGACCATAAAATTGAAGAAATGATACGTAGTCGAGTACAATGAATAGTCTTTCTAGCCACCAATGGGTTACCCTATTACTACGCCGACCTACAAATTGTACATTAAGCCATGGGTGAATAGTGAAATATCGCATGACCTCCTCGAGGATGACCCCTATATGATTATCTCGATTATCTGCCTTATTTATTTTATCAATGATCACCTTGGCATCTCTTTCGAATCTTATCTCCGAAAACCCGTTCGCCAAACACCAGAGAATAGCCTCCCGGAAGACGAGTAGCTCAACAACCATGGGATCATCAATATAAGCAAAATGCACCCCTTTAGCCAAGAGGACCCTCCCATCTTGGTTTTGTATAATCATTCTGCCTGCCTAGTGTGACTCACACTTAGTGGCCCTATCCCACTTACAGATAACTGAATCAGGGTGCCCACCCCTTAAAGGCGTCGGTTGTAGGATGGAAGATAAGCACACGATCTACTAGCAAACCTATCCACTCGTGATATTGTTGGTGAAATTTTCGCATTGAAGCTAGGATCCCAAATTGTTTGCCCTCAAAGAAAACCCAATTTCGTGACCGCCAGATCCTCCAAATGACCGCAACAATCGCCATAAACAGATGAGGTTGATGTACTAGTACATCAATTTGTTAAGAAAAAGCGGAAAAGTGTGACGAGGCAAACATTGGCGAAGATATTCGGGCCTCAAATGATCCCATAAAGCCCTAGCTACTAGGCACTCAAGAAACAAATGTTCCATTGTTTCCGATTCTGCCCAACAAACCGGGCATTGGGGATGCACCTGAACTTCCTTCTCAATTAGGGATTTCGTCGTTG